CATCCATGTGAACATGAAGAATGTAAAGTCTCCATCCTTCTTAATGGCTGCATAGTATTCCATGGTGTACATATACCACAGTTTGTTGATCCATTTGTGGATCAATGGGCACTTGGGCTTCTTCCATGACCTGGCAATTATGAATTTGGCTCTACTCTGTTTTAGAGTATATTAATAGTGATGAACATATTGTAGGTATTTTATTTAATTTATAACCTCATTGTGTTCAATTTGATTAGAATTAGATCCCCCAAATCATATGGTTCAATAGAGAAGTTAGACTTTCTATGAACATATAGAAGACATAAAATTATTTATATATTAAGTCCTTTAAAGAACACTTAAGATGATTTAATAATCTAATCAAGACAAGAGGACAATGACCAGATGTGAACTATATTTGAGCTCAGCCATTGTATCTTAGAGCTAAGGTGTAACGAGGCTGACCATTTGCCTTCGACGCACAGCCAAATCAGTGATTTGTTTGAAGGATCAGAGAGGATACCTTGTGTAGGCTTGGCTTGGCTCTAAGGCGCACCTGTACCTGGCACCATGGTACATGCACTAAAGAGGAGAAGCTTAGTTTAGATTTCACATAGAAACCTTTTATGGGGGAAGCTTAAAAGGAGTCTTGAACAAGAGATACCAGTTATTGAGATGGGCCAATTACAGTTGAGTTGAACTTCTTCTTCTTTTTTTTTCCCCAATTTTATTTGCCGTAATTTATTATTAAAGGCTTTTGGAACAATCTAATATATTAGAGGATCTGACAAATTATACTTGAGATTTTGGTTTTAAATTTATAATTAATATTAGATGTGTTATTTTATTTTGAAAGGAGTAAAAAAGAATTTGATTAGGTTTGTAAATTGGTTGGGGATATTTAGGAGATCAACATGGATCATTACCTCCTTGTTGAAACATTTCTTCATCTGGTTCTTGGGACTCCTGGCTCCTGCCTGCTCTTTGGTTGATTTCTCCTCTTTTCCCCAACATTAAATTGAAGTGACCAAGACGTAGCTTTGGATCTAATCTTTTCTCCCTCTCTGACCCCGTCCCTTTTCATCATGGCTTTAAACCCACAGATGCACTGATGACTCCTCACATGTCTCTGGTGAGTTGAACTTCTTGGAGGAAGAGGAATGAGAGTGTTTTGGATCCTGATGGATCCAAAAAAGAATGAAGGAGACCACAAAGGTTTTAATGTACCTTGGCAGAAGGTGCACACAAAAGTGGACTGAGCACAAACAAGAGTCTTTCATCTAGGCAGAGTGGCTCATGCCAATACTCTCAGCAGCTTTATCATACATGAATAACTTAACTATTTTTTAACTATCCTTCATTTCCTCAGGGGAACAGAGTGTGTGCTGCTGGCTTTGGCTACTTTTTCCATCTTGTGACCAGACAAACATCACAAGCTCCACTTCTCTCCTTTACTCAGAACATCGCACATTCTTGTACAAGGTAACTTTGGGGAATTCATCTCTTTTGGGTATAAAGCTTATGATTTTGCATTTTTCTAGACAAAGCTCATAAAAGGGCACTTTGACTTTTACTTGAGATGTGGTGATGCTCCTATTATGTATTTTTAAGCCATTTTATTGATGTATAATTGACATACCACAATTATATGTATTTAATGTATGTATATAACTTGATAAGTTTGGAAATAAGTAGATGCCCATGAAACCATCCCCATGATCTATGCTTCAAACACATCTTTCACCTCTAGAAGTGTTCCTTTAGCCTTCTTTATTTTGTTTATTATTATTATTCTAATACCACTTAGCATAAGATGCAAATTATTAGCAAATTTTTTGAGTACTCAATAAGGTATTGTTAACTCTAGGCACTGTGGTATGCAGTAGATCCCTGGGACTTATTCATCTGGCGTAACTGAAACGTTGTGTCCTTTGACTAATGTATGCTTATTTTCCCTTTCTCCAAGCCCCTAACATCTACCATTTTATTCTCTGCTTCTCTGCATTTGAATATTTCTTACATTTCTTATGTAGGCAGTATCGTGTAGTATTTATTCTTCTTTGTCTGGCTTTCATCACCCAGCACAATGTCCCCCAGGTTCATCTACATTGCCACAAATAGGATTTCCTTCCTTCTTGAGGGTGACTAATTTTACAATATAAGTATTCCCACATTTATCCCATTCACGAACACCTAGGCTGTCTCCATGCCTTAGCTGTGACGATTACCTATGCAAGCATTTTGGATCTGGAAGTCTAGTAGTGAAGGGAAGAGGAATGGGTTCACTTGAAAAACCAACAGGATAGAATTGACCTCTTGTGGCCGGAGAGAATTCAATGACAGTATTTAAACTTCCAAGACATTGAGAGCAGATGGTAATGCAGAAGCCCTGGAAAGCTGGTGGGCTTGGGCTCAGGCCTTGGGAGAGATGAGCCCTCTTGGAGACGAGGCTCTTTGCCTGTCATTTGCTCACTGGAAGATAAGAAAATACTTGTTCAAAGTCTTTGATATGTAGAGCGGTAAGCACAAGAGGACATGGGGAGACAAGCCGGGGTAGGGGATATGAGAAGCATAGGGAAATGACAACTTCACAGTCAATTAGGCCTCATTCAAGTCCTGACTCTACTAGTCAATTCCTTCCTTCCTTCCTCTTGTTCTCTCTTTTCCCTCCATCCTTCCTTCTTTCCTTCCCTCCTTCCATCTTATTTGTAAAACAAAGAAAAATCTACATTGAAAATTAGGTGTGAAAATTAGAGATGATTTATATAAGGTACTGAGGAGAGTACCTGGGATGTAGTAAGAATTCAGTGGCTAATAACTATAAATAATTATGATAATAATCCAGTAACAGTGCTATGAAGGAAAGTGATGAGAAGAGTAGAATAGGGATATGAACAGTTGCTAAGCAATTTTAAAGTGCAAGCTGAGGCTGGGATTAGTACGTGTGTAATGAAATTATCTTCATGACCATGATGTTTTCTCTGGCAGCTCTTGGCAGCCCTGGAATGTGAGGGAGGAAAGTATCCAGGGTATAGCAGCAGGTGGGCTTTGCAGGTAGAAGAGATTGCAGGTGCTGGTGTCTACTCTCCTAGGAAGGAGTGGATTTTGAATGGCTGATGGAGTAACAGGGACTGTGACCTAAAGGGCTAGGCGAAGGCATTCAAACTCTTAGGAAGGGGATAAAGCAGAGGGTGGCTGATACTCTAGCAGGGGATCATAGCCATCTGCATGTGTTGAGGTCCAGGAGAGGAGCAGGTCCCAGAAAGTAACAAGGTGGAAGGGCTGAGGGATGGCAACGAGAGTTAAGAGAAGGATTAATGTCTTAGCTCTCTGCTCTCTCCCTTATTCATTACTGTTGCTTCTGTACTTTCCAAAAAGAAATAGTGGGGAGTTAGAAATATAGAAACTGGCTTAAGATTTCATTCTTTGGTTCACTTTCTAGGTATGGTCTCTTTGTATACCCTAAGTTTCAGCCACCTTGGGATAATGGCACAAGCCCCACCCTGTTCCAAAACTTCACAGTTTGGGAAAGTCTAGGTGGTGCTCAGGTAAGTCTCTTTACCTTTTAAAGTTAAAACTGTCACTTGTATTCTCATGGCAATTTATTATGCATCTCTATGTAAAGGGAAGGAGTGATTTGCCATTGACAGGGAGACATTGCAATATTATCACAATTTTGAATATCTGTTAAATGAACAAATTCGAGGGTTAGGTCATCTCTCCATTGTGTCTTTTTGACAGCCAGAACAGCGAACAACAGTATCGTTCAGATTTAAGCCAGGAGGGATTGTAGAGGTCATTCTTTCTTTCTTTCCCCTCCTTACTTAGGGATAAGAAATTAAGAGTCAGAAGGTAAAGGGACTTGACAAAGGTCACGTAGTTGGTTAGTAGCATAACTGAGCTCAGACTTCGGGGTTCAAATGTTGTGTATTTGATATTCTAATATCCTGAATTATACATGCTCCAGTCTTAAGAAAAAGCTCTGTTCATTATTGGAAGATAAAAATTCCAGCTCAAGGAATTTCTTTAGTCAATATGCTGACTGTTAATAGCAACATATAAAAATTGTTCAGTGTCACTATTTGTTGCTATACAGAGAAAATTATATATACTTGGTCTATGCCACTTATAAATCTGGGGCCTAAGGTACGTAGATGAAGAAATATGTTTATAGAACATCCAGGAAATAGAATAAAAACATATAATTAAGTCATAATAAGAAACATTTAATTCACATATTGAACAAGTGGGGGACAATTATGGATGAGAAAAGCCTCAAAATATGTAACTAGGAGAGTTAACAAGAAGAATCTCAATTGTATTTAGTTCTTATTTAATTTTATAAAATATTTTTTTTTTTGCCATAAGCACTATGAATATAGGGGTGACAAATCCAGCAGAAACTCTGAGTGCCTTTTTATGCAGAGTAGCTCAAGAGGCTTAAACTTAGCCTTCTGCTCTTGAGTAGCCTTATTCTAGAGGAAATAACCAAACAAAATGAAAAAATTAAAAGATGCTTATCAAAGCCCATTGTTTTCAAGTTCTGTGATCAGAAATGCTAAATTTGTGAAAGAAAAAATGGAAGCCTATGGATTGAACTCTTTTTTTTTTTGAGACAGAACCTCAAGCTGTCGCCCTGGGTAGAGTGCTGTGGCATCACAGCTCACAGCAACCTCCAACTCCTGGACTCAAGCGATTCTCCTGCCTCCGCCTCCCAAGTAGCTGGGACTACGGGTGTCTGCCACCACACCTGGCTATTTTTTGGTTGCAGCCATCATTGTTGTTTGGCGGGCCTGGGCTGGATTCGAACCCACCAGCTCAGGTGTATGTGGCTGATGCCATAGCCATTTGAGCCACAGGCGCCAACCCTACGGATTGAACTCTTGCCCACTCAAATTTAATCATTCAATAAATTAAGATAATGGTGCCTCGGTGCCTATGGCTAAAGCTGCTAAGGTGCCAGCCACTTACACCTGAGCTGGCGGGTTTGCATCTGGCCCAGGCCCGCCAAATGACAAGGACGGCTGCAACCAAAAAATAGCCGGGCGTTGTGGTGGGTGCCTGTAGTCTCAGGTACTTGACTTGAGAAGTCAATGGCAAGTACCAAAAGATAAAGCCATATCTTGGCAGGAGACTTGCTTGAGCCCAGGAGTTGGAGGTTGCTGTGAGCTGTGATGCCACAGCACTCTACCCAGGGTGACAGCTTGAGGCTCTGTCTCAAAAAAAAAAAAAAATTAAGATAATGGGAATACTTTTGGAACTTCACTTTTCTGAGCATGAACAAAAGGCTACTTAAATAACATGACAGCATCAAATTTAAAATGTACCCTTCCTCAAAAAATCCTGAAAAACAGTAAAGTGAGAGAATTTAACTCTTCCCTATTTCAAAACTTACTACAAAGCAACAATAATCAAGAGATTATATGAGCACAAGGACAGACATATACATCAGTGGAATAAAAGTGGCAGTCCAGAAATAAACTACATCTTTAATCAAGTGATTTCATGTATATAAATAAATAGAATATCTCATCAAGTAAAATCCTTTTTTTATTGGAGTAAATAATTTTATTTTACTTTATTGGCAAAAATGTATATGTTTATTGTGTACAATATGATGTTTTAAAGTGTACACATTATTTGATGGTTAAATTAGCTAATTTACATATTTATTTTACATGGTGAGAATACTTAAAATCTACTTTAGTGCCTTAAAAGAATACGTTGTTATGAACTGTGGTCACCATGTTGTACAACAGATCTCTTGAACGTCTAACTTGACATTTTGTATCCTTTGATCAAATTCTCCCCCACTTCCCTCCACCATGCCCCTAGACCCAGGTGATCACCATTGTATTCTCTGATTCTTTGAGTTTAACTTTTTTACATTCTACATATTCAGGTAAGTGAGATCATGCAGTATTTGTCCATCTGTGTGTGGTTTATTTCAGTTAGCATTGCGTCCTCAGTTCATCCATGTTGTTGCAGATGACCGAATTTCCTTTATTTTAAAGGCTGAGTAGTATTCCATATGTATACTTACTATAGTTTCTTTATCCATTCATACGTTGGTGGATACTTAGGTTAAAGCCATCTCTTGGCTATTGTGAATGATGTTGCAATGTACGTAGAAGTGCAACTATCACTATCTCTTTGACATATGAACTCATTTCCTTTAGATATATATCCATCAAAGCAGTGGTTCTCAATCTTCCTAATGCTGCAATCCTTTAATATAGTTTCTATGGGTCGCCACCCACAGGTTGGGAACCACTGCATTCAAGGGATGGCTGGACCATATGGTAGTTTTTAATCTTTTGAGGAACTGACATACTATTTTCCATAAAAGTTGTACTAATTTACATTCCCACAATAGTGTGCAGGGGGACCTTTTCGTCTATATCCTCATTACCACTTGTTATTTTTCATTTTTTATGATATTCATTCTAGTAGTATGAATATCTAGTCTGATATCTCACTGTGGTTTTAATTTGCATTTCTCTATGATTACTGCTATTGAGTAGAAAATTCCTGTTGTGAATAAACATCAATTTATATCTATGTGATGACATTGACAATGATTTTGGATATTTTTTCATTTAATCATTGTAACAATCTTTGGGGAAGGTCTGCCATTATTATACTCCTTTTGAATATGAAAGTATCTTAAGAGGGTTAAATACTTGCTGAAGTCAAACAACTAAGAATTGTTGGATTCCAGCTCAGGCAATCTGACTCTTCTATTTATATGGTAATGAGAGTTGAGAAAAATATCCTCTCTTCATTATGTGTCATAAATGCTGGATGATTTTTTTACAAAGAAGGAGGGAAAGATGACAGCATTTTTTGAAAAATGTATTCACACCAGAAATAGGTGCATTTTGCTATTGTATTTTTTTTTTTTTT